ATCAACAACAGGAATTCACTGTGCAGTTACCCGCATGTTGGACCTCTGTCATTCATGAGGTGTAGTATGAGAATTAACAGTACACCTTCAGACTGCACTTTATGTATTTGTGTGGGTGTAAACAGTTGAAATCTCTACTTAGTATTGAGTTGGTCTTGTGCATATTAAACTCAATTAAAAACTTACCTTAATGAAAAATGGAACCGGAAAAGGTGTAGGAGGTGGGATGGGAGTGGGGTGGAAGGGTGGGAATTGGGGGAAAAACACTATATTCCTAAAAGCTGTACATATGAAATTTGTATTCATTGGAAAAAAAGTCTTCTAAAAAAAAGACAAAAAATATAGCTACGTGAGACTGAATGAGTTAGTGACATTTATGGGCTTCTATGAAGTCATTTACTTAAAATACTGTTGGTTCTGTACCTGAATATTTCAGAGTGTATATTCCAAAGATCGTTTATGCTAATGTTATGGCTTTCAGTGCTTTGCAAAGTATAATTTTGAAAACAGAAATGGAGGCCGGCGCCGCGGCTCACTAGGCTAATCCTCCGCCTTGCAGCACCGGCACACTGGGTTCTAATCCCGGTCTGGGCGCCGGATTCTGTCCCGGTTGCCCCTCTTCCAGGCCAGCTCTCTGCTGTGGCCTGGGAGTGCAGTGGAGGATGGCCCAAGTGCTTGGGCCCTGCACCCCATGGGAGACCAGGAGAAGCACCTGGCTCCTGGCTTTGGATCAGTGTGGTGCACTGTGGCCATTGGAGGGTGAACCAATGGTAAAGGAAGACCTTTCTCTCTCTCTCTCTCTCTCTCACTGTCCACTCTGCCTGTCAAAAAAAAAGAAAAAAAAAAAAAAAAGCCGGCGCCGTGGCTCAATAGGCTAATCCTCCACCTTGCGGCGCCGGCACATCGGGTTCTAGTCCCGGTTGGGGCGCCGGATTCTGTCCCGGTTGCCCCTCTTCCAGGCCAGCTCTCTGCTATGGCCAGGGAGTGCAGTGGAGGATGGCCCAGGTGCTTGGGCCCTGCACCCCATGGGAGACCAGGAAAAGCACCTGGCTCCTGGCTCCTGCCATCAGATCAGCGCGGTGCGCCAGCTGCAGCGGCGGCCATTGGAGGGTGAACCAACGGCAAAAGGAAGACCTTTCTCTCTGTCTCTCTCTCACTGTCCACTCTGCCTGTCAAAAATTTAAAAAAAAAAAAAAAGAAAAAAAAAAAAGAAAGAAAGAAAACAGAAATGGAAATGCTTGCCTTTTGCACCCTACTTAATTCTTCCAAAACTAAAAAAAATAAAATAAAAATTTAATTATTTTGGTTTTGTGGCAATGTCATTGTTCACATGACTTCAGTAAAAACATGTTCTACCTGCCTGCACCGTGGCTCACTAGGCTAATCCTCCGCCTGTGGCACCAGCAGCCTGGGTTCTAGTCCTGGTCGGGGTGCCGGATCCTGTCCCGGTTGCTCCTCTGCCAGTCCAGCTCTCTGCTGTGGCCCGGGAGGGCAGTGGAGGATGGCCCAAGTGCTTGGGTCCCTGCACCCACATGGGAGACAGGGAGGAAGTACCCGGCTCCTGGCTCCGGATCGGCACAGCGCAAAGTCAACCAACCAACCGACTATAATATGTTTGCGGTTACATTTTAACTCTTGGTTTTTAAGCTGCAAACTTAATGTTGCATTCTTGTTGGCTTTGTTTTATATTTTCATGTTTGAATTGTGTGCTACAAAGTACAATTTTCCAGAATAATGCTGGTCTGACATTTTGGCATAACTTTTACCTACAGAACACACAAAATTAACAGTACCCTCTAGGAAAACTCACTCTAAGCAACCCTATGTTGTGGGAAAACTGGGAAGATGAGTCCAAATTGGTGTTCTAGTATCAGTGAGATATGAGACCAGACAAAATGTTGAAAAGAGAAGCAAAGTTTGAGTAGAGGACAGAGAATCTCTGAGCAAGTGGAGATGGCTTGCTGTCAGGGGTTAGGGTGAGAACTTCTTTGACTTCTGCAAGCTGAGAAGGGGCAGAGTAAGAACCCATCCTCAAACCAGGGTTCCAGCAAAAGGTGGCGTCTGAATGCGATGTGGAAAACTCAAGATAAATAGCTAATTTGTGGGCAGGAGATCACACTTCCCCCTACCCTAATGTAATGTAATGTAAAAATTTCCTCCTCTTTTCTTCTCATCTTGGGAAGGCCTCTACCACAATTTTAAAGTCAGTTAGAAACAAGTCTAATTAGAACATAAAGGACTCTGCCACAGTCCACATGGGAATTACTCTTTCACATGACAAAGAATTAAGATAATCTCTGTCTGCCACATATTCACCTGTAACACCCTCAATAATAGCGGTTACTCTAAACGCTGTAGAGGTTTTCTATCTGCAACAGTTGGGCTGGGCCAAACCTAAGTCACAAGATAGAAATCCCTTCAGAGTAACTGCTATATTCAAATACTTGAACCTTCTTGCAGCTGCCTCCTATAAGTTGCGTCTAAAGCATAGGCAAGACCAACAGGAAGCAGAATTAAATCCTACTCTGATATGGAATGCTGGCAAAAGGTTAGCTGTTTGTGCCACCATTTTTTGGACAATGATGTAGTTTTGGAGGAGATGAGTGTACTCTCCTTGACAGATAGTAGGTTAAATCTCCACTTACAACACCTGCATCCTATATGGGCACCACTTCACATCCCAGCAGTTCTTCTTCCATCCAGCTGCCTGATTTGGCACAGAAAAGTAGTGGAGGATGTCCCAAGAGTTTAGGCCCCTGCGCCTGCCTGGGGAACCTGGAAAAAGCTCCTGGTTCCTGGTTTTTGGATCAAGCTCAGCTCTGGTCGTCACAACCACTTGGGGAACCAGTGGAAACAAGACTTCACTTGTCTCTCCCTCTGTCTATAGCTCTGCCTCTCAAATGAATAAACACACTTACCACGTATCACCATTCATCAGATTGGCCATAAACTGATCACTCAATAAGGGAGAATTTCTTGTCGAACGGCAATCGTACATCATAGCACTTGTTCCTAGGCCCTTTCATACATTTTAATTATATCATCAGTGCTGGTTCTCTAGCTTGTTCCCTGCCAGCTGCAGGGCTTGATCTTATCTACCTATCTCTCCATACTTATTTCCATATATACGTATGGATCCAACTTTCTAGAGAATCCAGACTAACAGTACATCCCCAGCTCTATCATACCAGCTCAGTGTACTAATGGTCTATAAGATGGCTATGAAATACCATCACAGGTTTCTCTTGGGTCAATCTGATATAAGTGCACGCTCATGTGCAGAAAATACAGAAATAAATCCGTGGTACAGAAAATCTAGCAGTGATAACAGAACATTATTTCAGAGCAGACAACAGCAGTAATCATTGAGGGCAAGTAGAGTGAAAATGAAATTTGCACGTGTCTGGGCCTGACGTGAAATTCAATTTCAGAGATGATGATGTCAAACATGGTTATGGGAGTTTGTTGGACTTGGCAACTACAGCAAAGAAATTATGCCACTTGAATGCAAGCCTCAGACACTGTATGTTCAGTGGGCAGAGGCTAGCATCTGTACTGCAGAGCATTAAGTATACAAAAGCACCTATGAGGGGGGCCAGCAGCGTGGCACAGAAGGTTAAAGCCCTGGCCGGGAGCGCTGGCATCCCACATGGGCACTGGTTCTATCGGGCTGCTCCCCTTCCAATCCAGCCCTCTGCTATGGCCTGGGAAAGCCCAAGGGCCCAAGTCGTTGGGGCCCTTTACCTGCGTGGGAGACCTGGAAGGAGCTCCTGGCTCCTGGCTTTGGATTGGTACAGCTCCGGCTGTTGTGGCCATCTGGGGAGTGAACCAGCGGATGGAAGACCTCTCTCTACCTCTGTCTCTACCTCTGTAACTCTTTCAAATAAATAAAAAAATTTAAAAAGCACCTGTGACAAGGAAAAGCTTTCTCCTTGCTAGATCATTGCCTCAATCAAGTTTTTAAAGCACTCCTACCCGGTATCTCTGTGCTGTAAGGAAAACGACATTTAGGGGGAAAAAAGGACATCTAGAACTACAAAGTCAATGAAAGACCAATAATATAATTTACAGGCAAGCACATTATGCTGAGGCCATCGAGCTCGCCCCAAGTTTGTTGATTCAGTTATAGTTTAGAAATGAGACATCATTTTAGAAGCTGTCTGAGGTTTGGGAATACAAATGGAAACTTTGGATAACCTGGGTGGGTGAACAATGTGAAAGTAGTCAAAACTATTGGTTCTTTGAGGATTTTGTAGAATTGTCAAGACGAAAGGGAAAGATTAGGGTTCTTGTGAGGCCAGTGATGAGTCCTGCTGCTACAGATCATCCTAACACAGCTCCATGCTGCCCTGAATGAAGGAAGTCTGGAGATCCTGAAAACAAAACGGTGTTGAGGGAAGTAGGGTACTGGTTCTTCGTATTTCACCAGATTTACACCCTCCTTACATAAGGAAACCATGGTTACACAGGTTTCACTAAGAGTCGACCCATCAAGTACAATGAGGGTAGGATGAAACCTGCATGGCAAAGGCACAGGTGTCAAAGACTTAAAAGGCACATCATATTACAATAGTAAATCCATGTGTAACACATACAAATGTACTTTATTCCTAACAACTTGTTGTCCCTTTGTTACGGATGAGAAATATGGAATATGGGTTACAACCAAAGATTGAGGTGTGATAACCTCTAAATATAATTTATATGTGGTAAACCAGGTGTAAAATCTCTACCTTAGAATCAACAGGGAAGAGGGATTAGATCCTCAGATTTAACCCTGTTAATGGCTTTGCTGGTGTCACCATTTATTTTAGCAGATATGCCAAAATAAAGTTAACATACCGCACACTTCAATCAGTTGTACTTAGTCTGTCCTGTATCTTTGAATTTCAGAAATTTCCATGTTGTGAGGGTGGAGCTGGACTCTGGATTATTACTTTAACATATGGAAATATGGAGAGAACAAGCATTGGCCCTTACCAAAACAAAGACATATCACATCTGGATCACTTTTTTATTATGAATGCCAATTTCAAACAGTAGAAAGCAGCAAAGAAAAAAAAGGTTCTTTGATCAAAGCTCAAGGAATGATGTAGCGTACATAAGGGACCTCAACGTCCTCGCCACTCTCACTGTTGCAACACAGTTCAAGCACCAGAGCCCGCACATGGTGGCCCAGTTTTCTCTTCGACACACAGCTCACAATTTCTGTCATTCTGAGACAAAAACAAAACAAAACAAAACAAAAACAGAAGGTTAAGGAGGTGAAACAGAAGAGAAGCACATATCGTAGGCAAAGACAAGATGAGAGTCAACTATTGCTTGATACAGCTGGAAATTTAAGACCCCACTGAGCAGGACACCTCCACCCTCCCTAGCTACCAACTCACGGCTGATCTAGCCGTTCCTTCAGCTTGGAGGCAGGCATAAAGAATGAGTAGAGCATGGACACACCCTGGGACAGCATGGTTATTTCCAGTTTGTGCTCTGTCTACAGAGGATGAGAAGGAGGAAGGGGAACGACCATCTGTAAGATTCTGAATTTATACAACTACCAACCCCGTGGGTAGGGGAAATGAAGAAGAAAAGCATCTTACCTTGAAGTATTCTAGGAACTGCCTGAGGGTCATCTCCTCACCATTAGGCTGTAATCCATGTACATCAAAGCGATCCCACAAAGTCCATTCTTGGTTATAATACTTGGAAACAAAGAACAGGGGGAAGGATAGTTGTTATTCCAGATGGTCTGGCCACTATCAGCCAACTTGACATGTTAGGTCAGAGCCACTGAAGTTCTTTATTCCAAGTAGTCTGATAGCCACATCTCAATTTAAGTAACTGTAATTCTTATAATGACCAAATAGTCACATATGACTGAGACCTTGTTACCTCTTCCACTCATTTTCCATCTCGTTTACTTTCCTCCTTTTAATTTCTTACAAGTACCTTGGCAATCTGTTGTTTTTTTTTTTTTTCAAAATGTGTGTCGTGCTCCTACCTTGTACACTGAATGAATAAACCAGGGAACACAAAAAGCAGATACCTAGTAACAGAAACTTACATGTGCCATAAGGAATACGGATGACTGCACACACATACACACACACACATACACACTCACACACACATTTTTCACTCATATACATAGTTGGGGTAACATGACATCTCCATACAGGCAGGCCATTACCCTTCTCACCTGGTGATGTGGTGGGGCAACGGGCTCAGAGAAGCTGAAGAATGGCAGAGCCAAGTTCATGAAGCTGTTCTTATAGGACGCAAGCTGTTGGTGTCCCTGCACTACCTTGTACAGCTCCAGACACACAAGGCCAACTACAGCTGATGTGGTTGTCGCAATGGCTGGGATGATCTTTCCTGCAATAAGCTTGCTCTGTGAATCAAGTGTGCCATAGATGTTATTTTTAGAGAAGGCTGAAATCTACACAAGAAGCTAAGTTCAAATTCTAGACTTAAGTAAGCTTGCAAGGGGTGGAAGATTGATCAGACCGCCATTACCTTATGACGGTCTGCAGGGGATATATCATAGTTCTCTGCTCTGAGGTTGGATGCAGCAACAATGAAATCCATATGAAAGTTGCTATCATCATCCTGTTGTGAATGAGGAGGAGGGGGGAGAGGGGAAAGAATAAGCATGAAAAGGATTCTTGGCTACATGGGAGAAGTACATTTCCCACTCCAACTACCTGCTAACCTCCACACCACAAAGGATGACTGGGCCCTGTTGTAGATCCATAATGCTGACAAAGCCTGAGAGCTGAGCCACTGTCAACCTATTTCCCTACCCAGATCAGGGCCCCACCAACAACCTTCTCAAAATTGATGGGATACATCTTGAATCCGCAGAGTTTGTCTGGACTGGGAAGCACGGCCTTGAGCTCCTCTAGATGGCTGTCATCTGCACGAAAAGAGGAGACATGCTTAGTCCCTCTGATCCTAACCCTGTTTCTGAGGTAAAATCAGTAGCCCAGGGTACACAAAGTGTTCATGCATATGATGGACACTTTGGGAAATAGTGAAACAAGAAAAATAGGAGGGAATATTCCCCAGAGAAAGAGGTACAAAGATGTAGGAAGCATGATAGGAAAATTATCCAGCATAGCCAAGAGGCAGAAGCAACCCAAATTTCTGTCAACAAAATGAAATAATCCATGTAACAGACTCAGTCTTAAAGAGGAAGGAAATTTTGACACATACTTTTAACACACATTAACCTCCTAGGTGTTTTGTCTGTCCATGCATTACTGAAGACATCACAGCCATAAAATAAATAAGACACAAAAGAAAATAGTATGATTCTACTTTTTATATTCCTAGAATAATAACTTGTGGAAACAGAAAACAGGTATGCTGCCTGAGACAGTGAGGAAGGGGAAAATGAGGAGAAACTGTAACAGGACTTGAATTTTTAGTTAACATTAAAAAGTCTTAGAAAGTGGTTGTACAACAAGAACACATTTAGCATCACTGAACACTCATCATAAACAGGTAATAGTCTCATCAGACTTTGACCATATTAAAAAAAGAGGGAGTGGATAGGATCTTCACAGAAGACAGAAAAGATAAACCATGGATATCGAGGTCTTAAGGAAGAATAACACACACAGATGAGGAGATACAGGGGAGGAAACACGAGACTGGAGTTAAAAAAGAAAATGAGTAAGGGAAGGAAGGAAAACTTCCAGACAGTAACAAAGAAGGGAACTATCAAGTCGGATTAATATCAAGAAATTTGAAGGGCAAGATTCAGTGGAAGAATACTAATAGAGATAGGTAACGTACATAAGGCGAGTCAAAAACAAATACATGGAAGGCAGACATGCATGAGAGATACAGATAAATACGTGCACAGAGGAACATAAAGAGGTGGCAATTATAAAGGAAAATAGGGCAGCTGATCTTAAGTCGTGAGATATGTAAATGGAAGAAACACATTCAGGGTAAGATACTACAGAGAGGGGCCGGCGCCGTGGCTCAATAGGCTAATCCTCCGCCTGCGGCGCCGGCACCCCAGGTTCTAGTCCTGGTCGGGGTGCCGGATTCTGTCCCGGTTGCCCCTCTTCCAGGCCAGCTCTCTGCTGTGGCCCAGGAGTGCAGTGGAGGATGGCCCAAGTGCTTGGGCCCTGCACCCGCATGGGAGACCAGGAGAAGCACCTGGCTGCTGCCTTCGGATCAGCGTGATGTGCTGGCCGCAGCGGCCATTGGAGGGTGAACCAACGGCAAAGGAAGACCTTTCTCTCTGTCTCTCTCTCTCTCTCTCACTGTCCACTCTGCCTATCAAAAATTAAAAAAAAAAAAAAGATACTACAGAGAGGAAGACACACAGCATGAGCCACACTGTAGACAGATGGAGATGGGAACTTGAGAATGAGGTGAGAAGACATATGGAGGACAACGTGATAAGGAGGAAAACAGAGAACAAAAAGTTTGGGGTAAATATTTACATGGGGATACAAGAGAAATTGAAGAGATAAAGCAGGTAAGGTATCAAGAAAAGATAACACTGGTTCAGATCATATAGAGAAGCAAAGAACAAAGGCAAACAAAAACCAGAAAAGGGATGATGAACAGCTATTTCTGACATCTATTGTGGTAGGAAGAAAAGAAATGAGACCTCCAACCAGTCATCCTTATTTCACACAGAATAAAAGTAACACCCAAAAAGATGATATGTTAGTAAACCCTATGCCTATAGTCACAGAGAAGGGCCAAGTGGTAAGGCTAGTGAGGAGACATGGGTGGAGAAAGTAGAGTGCAACTCCTGGCCAGCTGGCCAAAACTCACCAAGAGAGACACTGGCACTCTGCAGCTCCTGGTCAGAAACATGAATCCTGACACCAGACTTGGGGATGAATTCAGGTACCTGTAGAGACTGCAGGAGTGTGGCCACAGCAGGTCGGTCTTGAGAGCCCATCAGCCCATACATCTGGGCAAACAGGTTAGCAGCAGCCATCACATAGTCCAGATGTAGGGTCTATGAGAAGGCAAACACACAAAGTCAGTTCTCAGTGGGGAAATCTGCCTGTTTCCTATCTATGCAACTTCCCCTTGACCCAAAGAGATCCCAGGAAGTTGAGACTTACATTGTTGACATCAAATGTAAGTGGATGTGGACAGCGTTTGGGTCCAGACCAGAATGGGGCTCCTGAGCTTGTCAGCTAGGAGAGGAAAGATTTTGGAGGAGTAGAACCTGAGTGTAGAAGACCAGCTGGCAATGCTACCACCTTACTTTGTTCCTGTGAGTCTAGACACTATTCTGGGAAACTTTTTATCAGAATAACAAAAAAAATCATAAACTTGTCAATCTGGCAGGCACTATACAAACTAAAGCTTAACATTTATATGTTAACCCTGAAAAAACCCCCATTATATGAGTTATTATTTCTTCTTTACAGATAAAGTTACTGAAATACAAAGAGGAAAATAAATGGCTTGCTCTAATGTCAAGTCCATTGGGTTTCAAACCAACAATGGCTGTTAAACTTGAAACTATGTTAACTATAAAACTTTAGAACTATAAAGCTTTCCCTGATAGTATCTACAATGTGAGATCAGAAACAATACTCCACACCATCAGCCAGGGAAACAGAAATGAAAAACCCCTTTCCTGGTGGAAAAGGAATGAGGCAGAACACGTTTGCAGAACTGCAGCTTGTTTTTCTGAGATACCAATCCTTGGGTTGCCTGTGACTGCTGGATTATCAAAAACCTAGGAGAATTCTCTTGTTTCCCAGAAATGTACTCTGCCCAAAGGTCCAGGAAAGTGCAATAATACCTGGTTGGGAGGGAAGTTGTGGAGTAGCTGCCGGATGTTGTTAGAATACTGGGTGTGCCAGTGGTAGCAAGCCCAAGTCACACAGTCAGCCCATGTATGTGGTCGCTGCAGTACCAGGCTACGCTGTAAGGCCTCCAGCACCTCCACTGGTTGGGTGCCTCCCAGCTGCAAAGTCCGTTCCACAAACTTTGGGTCTCTATAGGGAAGAAGCAAACAGCAAAATTATTCAACAGACCCAGAAGCAGGCTTCTTGAAAATCCCACACTCTCCATGCAAAGCCAGACGTGATTCCCAAAAGGTGTCAAGAGGCTCAAACATAATAAGGTACAGATGTGAGGGAAGCAGACACAAGGATTTTTAGGCTGCTGGGCAGGGGCAAGCATCACAGTTCATTTAGGTTACACACGTGAGATACTGGTTGACATTTTCTGCAGGGTGCTTGAAGAGGCCTTCAAATTCATCCCGGGCCCACTGCAGACAAAGCAAACATTACACAGGGACAATGAATAACACAGAGGTTTCTAAATGTATTCGAAAGATTAATCAATGAATCAAGCAAGTTGAAAGAAGCACTTTTGCTCTGTGAGTGCGCAACAGTGAAGTTTCTTAAATGTGGCTCCCCAAATTTACCAACTTCACACCGCTACTTTTTCAATGGCTTATCTATATAGTGGTAATGCAGGTGCTTAGGCATTAAAAGTTACTTGTCACGTCTGTGTACATTACTAGAATACGGGTGTTTTTCCTCAAAAAAAAAAAAAAAAAGGAAAATTCACAGCTAAATATAACAACAACAATCCTCATACAGACCCTGGGACTGGCAAAAAACAAAGCACTTCTGCATATGTACTGCCATTTTATACTTTAAATACGAAATATTTATATAAGACCAGTAAGTACAATCACTTGCAAAGTCATCTGGATCTCTAGCGCCGGAGATTCACTGGAGACTGTAGCTCTTTCCTACTGCCTACTTCATCATTCTAGATAGTAATTTCTATGCTCCATGGACTTGCTACAAAGAAACAACCAAATACATATATATCTAAAGCTTATTCAAAATAGCAAATGCATGTTAAATGTTATAGAAAGGATGAGATACTAATTGTCATGGAAGTTTTATGGATAAGGAATCCGAGGCATGTGGAAGTTTCACAGAAGTCTGAGGTCATATAATGAAAATGTTTTAAAACCTTTCTCATAGATTTCCCTGCATGTTGGACACAAAAGAAAACGTGACCTACTAGAGGTTATATAACATATAAATACACATGAGAGCCAAAAAACTGACAGTCATGAGTACATAAATAAGTATATCCACTCATGCTGAAAGTGCTAAGTTGGGAAGGCAACTTTTTTTTTCCACAAATAATTCCTCCTAAACAAAGTCTCAAATATTACAGTAAGAAACACTCTAAACACACAATGGTGTGGTTCTTGGGTTGCAGATTAGCATTAGATTATGTGTATCAGTTACTCAGGTGTATTTATTTTCTTCAACTAAATATGCCCTGTTCTATATGTATGGCCATTATGTCAATAGAAACTATTCTGATAAACTAACTGTTGAAACATTTTGAGCAGCAGTTATAGAAATATAAATATATACTTTAACACAAATTTTTCTGTAATAACTTTGTTAACTTTGAAATAACAAAGTTAACAATGAAGTCAATTTTGCTCAGAAACACATTAGTGTTTACACATTCTCACTTTTCAGACGTTTACTGAAACTGTAGTCTTTAACAGAAGATTTTTTAAAGTTAAAAAAAGTTTTAAAAATGAAGTTATTGGTACACATGAAAACTGATTAGCAGAAAGATTTGCTGCACTGAGCCTTACAGTTCTGGAATGTCAAGGGCTTCAAAATCCAGAGGCTATGTCTGAACCTGTCTCTTTTACCTCCCAAAGTCCCCAAGGCTAGTCACCTGCAGAGTGTGTTCAATGGCATTGGGGAAGTTCTTCAGTGTGCAGATGGGGATGGACTTCTCAGGTGGGTCCTGGCTAGAGCTGTAAGATTCCGTCAGGAAGGGAATAACCACTTGCACACTGCCCTTGGTGCCCAGTGTCCCTGACTCCAACAATGGTTTACGGTAGTACACGCAGCGGCGGTCCATGTACAGGCCTTCATGGAGGTAAAGAGGATGTTTCATGAGAACTGGGAGAGGAGTATTAGGACAGGTACACCCCACCCTAATATGCACAATGATGGCTGTGCCCTATCCTCATGTGCCTAGAAACTCACGGGCATCTACATTGTCCAGGGCATTGGCTACACCATCCAGGTTTTCATAGAAGTCGTCGTTGTAGATACACTCAGTGTCAGGGCCTACACGATTCTGGTGGCTTATTACTCTGACGTATGGATTTATCTGACGCACAGATGCCGCAGCTACATCAGACTTTAACTTCTGAATGGGAATGGAGGGAGAAAGCTGTTTGTCATACATTCACACACAACCTTTTAAACAGCTAACCTAACAACTGAGTAAGTGAAGAAAAGCCTTGACTCCAAATTCAAGAACATCACCTGATGTTCTGTGACAATGCCACATGTGACAAATGTGAAATGAGACCAAGAGGGCCCAAAATATATGCCACAAATAGGAAAAAAATTCCTTAGTTTTACATTATTTTACCAACTAATTCCACTTTTTTTTTTCATTTAATGAGACCCAGAATAGAGATGACATCACCTAAATAAAAACAAAGACACACAGGATCTTTTCAAAGCCAAAGCCAAAACCAAGACCTTTTCTTATTTAAAACCCAACACTGGATGATGCAACACTGTGGTGAAGTGTTTTAAAACTGTGGCCTGCAGTGCCAGCATCCCAAATGGGTGCTGGTTCAAGTCCTGGCTGCTCCATTTCCTATACAGCTCTCTGCCATGGCACAGGAAAGCAGGAGAAGGATGACTCAAGTCTCTCGGCCCCTGCAGACCCGGAAGTAGCTCCTGGCCCCTGGGTTCAGATCAGCTCAGCACTGGCCACTGCAGCCATTTGTGGAGTGAACCAGTGGATGAAGGACCCTCTTCTCTCAAACTCTTTCAAATAAACAAAACTAAATCTTTAAAAAAAAAAAACCCTCCACTGGTAATACATTTTTCCTTAGAGAAAAATGAGCTGTCTCTATCATTGCACACCATAAAGTACAGTTTTGCTCAGGTTTTTACCTTTATCTGTTGGCACACTATTATGCTAGACATTCTAATCTACATCCTTCGAGTATCTGAAAAAAATTTCACTTTTTTTAAAGATTTTTTTATTTATTTGAAAGTCAGAGTTACACAGAGAGATGAGAAGGAGAGGGAGAGGGAGAGGGAGAGGGAGAGGGGAGAGGGAGAGGGAGAGGGGAGAGGGAGAGGGAGAGGGAGAGGGAGAGGGAGAGGGAGAGAGAGAGAGAGAGAGAGGTGTCTTCCATCCGCTGGTTCACTCCCCAATTGGCCGCAAGGACTGGAGCTGTGCTGATCCAAAGCCAGGAACCAGGAGCTTCCTCCAGGCCTCCCATGGTGGGTGCAGGGGCCCAAGGACTTGGGCCATCTTCTATTGCTTTCCCAGGCCACAGCAGAGAGCTGGATCGGAAGTGGAACAGAGCCGGGTCTTGAACTGGCAACCATATGGGATGCTGGCACTTCAGGCCAGGGTGTTAACACACTGTACCACAGCGCCAGCCCCAAAAATGTCATCTTTCTCATGAAAGATACCTTTGTTTACACTGTAAACCTTCCAAAGACACCTTTGTTTCTTACCACGTCCATACCCTACCTTTTCACGTGTTAATGATATTCTCTGTGACTGTATTTGTTTTTTTAAGTTATCAAACCAAGAAACTTTTTCTATACATTTTCATATCACATATTTAACTAGAAAGTAGAAAAAAATTAGACCATTTTAAAATCCTTAATAAATCCTACACATAATCTGAATCATCATAAAAATATTTTCCAATGCAAACTTCAGTAACAGGAGCTAAACTCCATTTACCTTTTGGTCAAATATCTTTATGTACTTCTTAATGACAGCTAGATTCTCATTTCTAATGCATTCAACCTGGTATTTTGTTTGAAGGAAAAGGCAGCACAGAAAAATAGTTTGACAGCCTATCAGCATAACTTGCAGGAGTTTAAAACTATATAGCAAACTTAACAAGTCAAAGTGTTTATAAGTTTGGTTTTAAGTAAATCTGGAATCCATATTCAATCAACTTCCATTTTGAATGGATATTTACAACTAGTACATATTCTGTCTCACGATACAGTGGTCATTTGGAAAAGTGTTTCATTGAATTAAAGGAGGATTTCCTGTAGAAGATTAGAAAGTTCCATTCTTTGATAAAATAAGAGTAAAAAAGTCAAATAATGGTCTTAGTGTTCTTAAAATGACTATTATAATCTTGTGGATTCCAAGAGTATTTTACTATTAATTTTCCTATTAGAAAAGGGCAGGAACTTCTTTTTAACATATATTTCAATGTCTAGAACCTACTATGTGGACTGTAAAGTTATAAGACTCTGAGCAGGCAGTAAAATTACTGACTTTCACAACGGCCTTCCATAACCCCAATTTACAGTACCGTATTCAAAATGGCCCAAAACCAACAACGCAGGAGTGGAGAAATTATGAAAACCTATCAATGAAATGACCTAAGTGCTTGATAAATGTTTGCTGAGGTGAAGACTGACCGGCAGACAATTAAATTTGGACACAGGTATGAGGGTATGAGACACACAGAGAGAGGTGTTCTAAGCCACTAGGATGAGAAGAGAGAGAGAGAGAGAGAGAGAGAGAGAGAGAGAGAGAGAGAGATATGACAGAAACTCATAAACCCCATTCAACTCACTGTGACATCCCAGGGCCGGAAGAGAAACTGTCGGTTCAGATTGGACTTTTCAATGGTATCCATGTCTGTCACTGTAATATTCCCACCCTCCCCACAGCCTAGTCCAATCATGGCAAAGTTCTTGAGCAACTCACAGCCAATGGCACCTGCACCCACCTGGAAGATGGGAAAGAGAGTCTGGTCAAGGTGACTGCAGATAGCAGGAAGCCATTTACCGCTCTGTACTTCCCGTAGAGGTACAAAGATGAAAGAAAGTCATCTATGCCACATATTTAAACCCCCAAATCACAAAAATCTATCATCATCTTAAAAATGGAAGCACTTGAGACCCAAAACAAAGAATATATCATGTTTTCCTTCAATTCACAGAAAGTGAAAAAGTGAATGTGATCAAGCCACAAAAGATCAGAAAGACCCAACTTCTAGAGACAAAAGAAAATCTAAGAGGGGTCAGAAGCTAGTAAGGAAGGTGAAGGTAGTGGGTGTCTACTCACCAGAAAGTACTTCTGCTTGCCTAGTTTCTCTTGTAGGTCTGAGCCAAATACTGCCACCTGCCCATCATAACGGTTCTGATGCTATCAAAAAAGGCAGGAAGGCAGGAAGGCAGGAAGGCAGGAAGGCAGGAAGGCAGGAAGGCAGGCAGGCAGGCAGGCAGGCAGGCAGGCAGGCAGGAAGGAAGACAGAAGGCAGGAAGGAAGGCAGGAAGGCGGGAAGGAAGGCAGAAGGCGGGAAGGCGGGAAGGAGGGAAGGAGGGAGGGAGGGAGGGAGGGAAGGAGGGAGGGAGGGAGGGAGGGAGAGAGGGAGGGAGGGAGGGAGGGAAAGAAAAGAGAAAAGAAAAGAAAAGAAAAGAAAAGAAAAGAAAAGAAAAGAAAAGAAAAGAAAAGAAAAGAAAAGAAAAGAAAAGAAAAGAAAAGAAAAGAACAGAACAGAACAGGAAGGTTAAGGAAGAGTGGCTTTAGAGATGCTCACAATGAAGTCGTCACAGAGGACCCACATACCGGGAGACATTTGTCTTCCATGAAGGCTTCTTTGTTTTCAGGAAGGCATTCTAAAGCATCAAAGTACAACCACTGCATGATAGGCATAAACTTGCCAGAGCAGGCCTGGGGAGAAAAGGTTGTCAGTAGTTGAGGCTTGACAAGTGACAAGTAGAGGACACTTCTGGCCATGCCCTTAACCATCCATGCTGACCTTCATGACCTCCTGGGCGGCCAGGCCCCCAATGAAGGCATTTATAGGTGCCAGATTCCCAGCAGCTACATATGCCAACTTGCGAATGAGGTCTTCATCCAGGATGCCCTGCTGTCCTGGGGGCAAGGCTTCAGAATTCACAGTCTGTGCTAAGATCACCAGTTCTGCTGCATCTTCCTGACGAGTCAAAAAAGAACATTTCAGACCACCATAGGAGGATAAGGAGGAAGGAAATTGTAGGCAAATGGAAAAATGACCGCTTTGGTCCAATCCACTGGTTATCTCCCCATCTCATTTACCTCATTATGTGGTCGAGGAGATCGATTGTATTGAGAACAAAACCGATGCAGGGCCTGGAAGCCAATGTGCAGCTGAGCAGGGTGAGAATACTTGGCAAAGTCCATTATCACAAAATCTGGCTCTGCCAATGACGCTACTAAGGATTTCTGTGGAAAGTGGGACATCAGGATCAGAGGCCGGAAAAAACTAGAAAACGCCCAGAAACCTACCATCAACTCATACTCACAAAACTAATCTTCTTAGGTACTTTGACCTGACTGACAATGCCTCCACGAATATACTCAGAGAAGCTGGAGGTATCACATATGCTGAAGGTGTAAGGCCCTAAGGGAAACAAAAAAAGGTGGAGGGGAATATGTTAAGTCATGTAACAACTCTCCCATCTTGCCATCTAGCACCATTAAATTTATTTATTTTTTTTAACTTTTATTTAATGAATGTAAATTTCCAAAGTACGACTGATGGATTACAATGGCTTCCCCCCCATACCGTCCCTCCCACCCACAACCCTCCCCTTTCCCACTCCCTCTCCCCTTCCATTCACATCAAGATTCATTTTCGATTATCTTAATATACAGAAGATCAGCTTAGTATACATTAAGTAAGGATTTCAACGGTTTGCTCCCACACACAAACATAGAGTGAAAAATAATAGATGATTTTTTTAAATGATGATGAAATCAGATCAGACCTATTGTCATGTTTAATCCCAGTGAGAGTCAAGCTGGGAATTGATAATTTCTTTTTTCTTTTCTTTTTTTTTTTACAGAAGATCAGTTTAGTATGCATTAAGTAAAAATTTCAGCAGTTTGCACGCCCATAGAAACACAAAGTGAAATATATTGTTTGAGTACTCATTATAGCATTAAATCTCAATGTACAGCACATTAAGGACAGAGATCCTACATGAGGAGTAAGTGCACAGTGACTCCTGTTGTTGACTTTACCAACTGACACTCCTGTCTATGGCATCAGTAATCTCCCTATGCACCAGTCATGAGTTTCCAAGGCTATGGAAGCCCTCTGAGTTCTCCGACTCTGATCTTGTTTAGACAAGGTCATAGTCAAAGTGGAGGTTCTCTCCTCCCTTCAGAGAAAGGTACCTCCTTCTTTGATGACCTGTTCTTTCCACTGGGATCTCACTCACAGAGATCTTTTGCCAGAGTGTCTTGGCTTTCCATGCCTGAAATACTCTCATGGGCTTTTCAGCCAGATCCGAAAGCCTTTAGGGCTGATTCTGAGGCCAGAGTGCTATTTAGGACATCTGCCATTCTATGAGTCTGCTGAGTATCTCACTTCCCATGTTGGATCACTCTCCCCTTTATTTATTCTATCGGTTAGTATTAGCAGGTACTAGACTTGTTTATGTGCTCCCTTTGACTCTTAGTCCTTTCATTATGATCAATTGTGAACTCAAATTGATCACTTGGACCAGTGAGATGGCATTGGTACATGCCACCTTCATGGGATTGAATTGCAATCCCCTGGTATGTTTCTAACTCTACCATTTGGGGCAAGTCAGCTTGAGCATGTCCCAAATTATACATCTCTTCCCTCTCGTATTCCCACTCTCATGTTTAACAGGGATCACATTTCAGTTAATTTTCAACACTTAAGAATAACTGTGTGATAATTACAGAATTAAACCAGTCATATTAAGTAGAACAGACCAAAAAAATACTAAGAGGATAATGTATTAAGTTGTTCATTAACAGTCAGGGCTATGCTGATCAAGTCACCGTTTCTCATAGTGTCCATTTCACTTCAGGAGGTTTCCTTTTTGGTGTTCAGTCAGTTGTCACCGATCAGGGAGAACATATGGTATTTGTCCCTTTGGGACTGGCTTACTTCACTCAGCATGATGTGTTCCAGATTCCTCCATTTTGTTGCAAATGACTGGATTTCGTTGTTTCTTACTGCAGTATAGTATTCTAAAGAGTACATATCCCATAATTTCTTTATCCAGTCTACCGTTGATGGGCATTTAGGTTGGTTCCAGGTCCTGGCTATTGTGAATTGTAGCACCATTCAATTTAAAATTAAAAACCAAAATACTTGTAGCGCAGACACTGTAAGCCTCTATTCTTACATTCAGGTATCTAAAACTGTTCCTCTCCTGCCCCAGGTTTAGCTCAACCCCCTCAATGACTCTACTTCTAAATACGATTCTAAAAAAAAGCCATGTTTATAGCTCTTCCTTTTCAATTAAAAATTGTGAATACCTTCTATCCTTTTGTCTACTTGAGTGTAGGAGACTGCAAGCACTCAGATACAAAGAATGAAATCTGTCTTTGATCTCCAGGGGTCTGCTCAGGCTCCTGAGACTCAGAACGTATGAAAGAGATGTCTCTCTCTCCTTCTCCAAACTCTAAGAAAGTGTCATCAACTCTCCACCTGAAACTAGGTAATCTGTATACCTTTAACCCAGATCCTTGGGAGAGTCACAACAATTAGGAGAGACCTCTCCTTCACACAACTCAAATCTTGAGGACGTGTCTCGACCATGTCTCACACATGTCTCTGACTTTGGGGCTCAACTCAGAATTTTGCCTCTAGTCCAGTCCTCAGACAACTAAAAGGTTTCAGTTCTGATTAATTTAACTTTCTATAATAATTAACGAAGAAACCACGGAAATCAGTTTTTAACCATGAGAAAAGGCAGTACAAAAAAATGATTCCTGTTAAAATAACAAATGCAATTAGCTGCCTGATTATTCCAGCTTGTTGCCAAAGCACAAGAAGTAGGAAGGATCACAGAAACCAGCAAACACCCTCATTTGACAATGAGTTCAGAATTCAGAGACAAGAACATATTGACTTCACAGGACACAGTTCTTGAGGACAGGGAAGCAAATTAAAGAACACCAGCCTTAGAAATATACTGCAGACCTGAGTATAAAGCATAAAAAATTAACAAACAAAAAAACTATCAAAGGCCAGGAAAACAACTATAAAAACACTAAGATCTCTTTGTAACTGAAGAATGGTTCTAGGAACTCGATGGATACAAAACTCCCACAGATGTTCAAGTTCTTCATACAAAATGCTGATCATACTTGCACACAAACTCTAACTCACATTAGGACATTAGGACTGCAATATCTAATGCAACACAAGTAGATAGTTACATGTGTTCCTGTATATGCTCAATATACATGCAATTTTTATCATTCACATATTTTTGATCTCTAATCGTTCAATCATGGATGCAGAGGGACAGGACCTTAAAACAGGGGGCAAGCATTTGAAATGGTGGTTGGCCGGCACCGCGGCTCCCTAGGCTAATCCTCTGGAGGCCTTGCGGCGCCGGCACACCGGGTTCTAGTCCCGGTCGGGGCGCCGGATTCTGTCCCGGTTGCCCCTCTTCCAGGCCAGCTCTCTGCTGTGGCCAGGGAGTGCAGTGGAGGATGGCCCAAGTGCTCGGGCCCTGCACCCCATGGGAGACCAGGAAAAGCACCTGGCTCCTGCCATCGGATCAGCACGGTGTGCCGGCCGCAGTGCGCCGTCCGCGGTGGCTATTGGAGGGTGAACCAATGGCAAAGGAAGACCTTTCTCTCTCTCTCTCTCTCTCTCTCACTGTCCACTCCGCCTGTCAAAAAAATAAAAATAAAAATAAATAAAAATGAAATGGTGGTTAAGACTGTGCTTCATTAGCCAGCACCTCAAGTTGGCATGCCTACTATGAATTCCAGCTATTACAGTTCTACTCCAGCTTCCTGTTATTGCGCACCGCAGGAGGCAGCAGAAGTGGCTCAAGTCCTCAGGTTCTTGATACATATGAGGGAGTTCCAGACTGAGTTCTAGGATCCTAGCATTAGCCTGGCCCAGGACAGCGGCTGCAGCTGTTTATGGAGTGAAACAGCAGATGAAGTTTGTGTCTGTGGAGGTGGAGGCAAGACGGTGGTATAGCAGTGGGATGTTCCAAGTTGCACAGGGAAAAATGGATAATTAACAAGAAGGAGGAATACAAGCAAGCACAGCAATAATAAAAAGTTTACGCAGAGTGGCTCAGGAGTTCACCAGAGTGTGCACAGGCCCACGTTGCAAAGACAGACAGGTGCCCAAAGTGCAGAAAGGGAACAGTGAGGAGACAGCCACCACTCCCTCAGTGACTCAGGTGAGAGGTTGTGAGCCCACAGAGATGCATACACAGATGAGTGTGGAAATTTGGTGAACAGTAATCGGTGCTCTAAGTGGGAAGAAGGAGAAATTCTGGGGGACGGGCAGAAAGGGTGAACATGCCACGATTCCTCGGTGTCTTACCCCGCCCCCTAACTGGAACTGCAGCTGGCAGGGATAGGCCACATTGGTTGCTTACATTTTCCAGTGTAGGCAGCGGGCTGCACTTTTGCCTCCTGTGCCATGAACCCAAAAATTGTGGGGGCCACCTCATAACACACCCCACCAGAGAACAACAATCACAACAATTCAGAGTGACTTCTCTCCCATCACGCAAGTTACACAGCAAAAAATAAATCTGAAAAACAAACACAAGCTCTTTTTAGTGAACAAAGGAGCAGGGAGACCAGCCCTAGTAGGTGGGGCTTAGTACATCAAAGCCTGGCTACTCTCCTCTTTAAGCTGCCAGAAATAAACAGAGCTCCAGGAGGTGGAGCTGCTTGCTTACACTGGCAACCAGCACAGACACATAGCAGCTCACAGCAGAGGAAAAACAATCTAAAAATTAAATCAATCAGAACACAAACAAATGCCAAAGAACAAAGGAAAAATTCTGAATAAGAGTAAGAAAGAACCAATGAACTTGCCAATGGAGCAATCTAAGTCTTCACAAATAGACAGAAGAAAAAGAAATTGAAGTCATGCTAGGAAAAGAGTTCAGAAAATTGATAAGATTACTTAAGAGCAATCAAAAACAAATTCAAGATCTGAATGAGAAGCACTCCCAAGGAACTGAGATTCTAAAGAGAAGCCAAAATGAAATACTGGAAATGAAAGCTTCAAATTGACCAAATAAAAAATGTCGTGGAATCTCTCAGAAATCAAACATATGAAATAGAAGAGTGAATATGAGAACTGGAAGACAAACTTCTGCAATTAATGCAGTAATACTAAATTAACACAGTAATACTAAACATAAGAAGAACAATTAGAAAATTAAAAATCACAGTTTTAGATTTACAAGACTATATCAAGCAATGTAATGTACAGATAATGAGAGCCCTGGAATGTGTGGAAAGAGAGAATGGATTAAAGGCCTTCTTAATGAAATCCTATCTGGCTGGCACCATGGCTCACTTGACTAATCCTCCACCTGCAGTGCTGGCACCCTGGGTTCTAGTCCCAGTCGGGACGCCGGATTCTGTCCCGGTTCCTCCTCTTCCAGTCCAGCTCTCTGTTGTGGCCCAGGAAGGCAGTGCAAGGATGGCC